AGTTGGAACTGATTTGATGGCCCCTAACAACAATACAACAACAACAACTGTAACAGAAACATCACAGGCTGGTGACTTTAATGAACAGGAATTTGTTTTCCCACATTCTAAAGCTAAAAATCCAAAATGGGGTGTTGGCTGTGTTGACTTCTTCCTTGTTGATAGCCCCAGTGTTCCTTATTTACTTATAGACAATCCTGATGTGGCATCTGTCTTCTGTCGTGTATGTGTGCCTATGTGTTGTTTCATTAAATCCTAAGTGATTATGTTTTAGTTTCTACCCTACACTGGCATAATACATTAGTATAATGCAAGAAAGTCCTATTTCCAAATGGGGTCACACCGACACGCACAAGGGCATACATTCAACACATATTTTATCTAATATTACCCGGGCGGTGGGGCGAGGGGGGGTGAATAGGAAAAGAATGGACACACAATTCAATCTACAGTAGTTAAAACAAACCTGTTCTCTCTAGTCTAACTAACGCTGACAAAATATCAAAGATATATTCGGCACTTGGAAAACTAAGGACCAAATATGAATCCAGGTTAAGATCTACACCAAGGAGAGGATTCTACCTGAGATCAGTGGAATCCCTTGATGAATATTACTATCGCATTCTACAGAATGTTATCGAAAAGATTCACGTTAAGATGTCATGTTAAATAAAAATAAGATATTCATGCATAATAACTAAAATGTGATACCAGTTCAGAATAACAAGAATTTCTCCCCAGCCATCAATAAGGACTGAGGAAAAGGAAATATTTCTCTGTAAAACAAACTTCTCTTACCTTCCATACTGGTTCTCCAGTGCTGTTTTTAACATGAGGCACATTGAAATTCAACATACGCTTCAATGCCACTAAAAATTAAAATAGTTTAATTAAATATTACCATTGGTTTTCAGAATTACATTTCTTTCACATTTCTTATTTACCACATCAAAACGAAATTCACGACATACCTCTACTCATACTGACTAATGAAATGACTGGACATAGAAATAAGGGTTAATTCTGTTAAACTCTTCCCTTAAGAAATAATTGGCAATTGTCTCGGAGTTTTTCTAAAATACAACAGGCATGTGTCCCCAGATAAAACAGTGTGAAAAATGTTCCAGAAGAAGCATTTAGCATTTCTCCTAACTATCCCACAACACATTTTATATAAAAGCAAAAAGAAGCTTTCTTTAATCACGAACTTACAATGATCTCAAAGACTGTTAGCTATTGTTGAGTATAAACAACAGATTAAGACACTCTTTCTAAAAATGAAAATTATCTAAGACATATTTCATTGGTTTATATACACCTTCACCCAGTAGTTCTAAATTTGAGTTACCTAGGAATATATTTTCCAACTATCTATCCCATTAGATTCACTAAAAAGTCTCAGTGCTTCCATTTCTCATTTCCTGGGATATAACTGAGCCTGTCCCATAGTTATGGTAGGTAACTGTTAAGTGTGCCTAAGAAGATACAGAAATTCAAAAGCCACAGCAGCTACACTCTAGATGGCAGAGTATTTTGTGGTTTTTACTACGCATATATTGAGAGACTCAAATATTTTGGACCATAAATGAAAATCCTTTTACATATTTCAATGTGAAGCTTAAATAGCCAGATATTCAAGGGAATATATTAGTTAGGTGATATAAGAATAAAAAGATTATTAGTAACCAACAAATAAACAAACAGCTGCAAATATGCATTAATATTCAGAATGTGGAATACATGAAAAAT